AAGTCACTGCTCAAAGCAAGGATAGCAACTTCTTTCGGCACCGTTACGTCTTTTCTCACATTGAAATACTGAATATCGACTACGAGCTCCATTGCGATTTATGAATGATTGAGCGTACCAGCAGCAACTTATCCGATAGACGATTAGGGTGTCCAAGTAGTGAGTGTAAGTATAATACATGTAGTTAGTGGCACCATCTTAACGCTCAAGTCGACCATAATTTGACGTGACGCATCGATTTCTAGATATTCTCGGACTCAGCATACACTATACAATTAACAGTCGAAGTAAGAGCGTCGGTAAATTGAACGTCCAATCTAACACTGCCGTGTTTGATTAAGTTCTAATGAAAACGTTCGTTGGCTGATAAATCCGGTGTTTAATCGAAAGCAAAGAGACAGTAACCGTTAGGATAAGATTCGCGATCAATGTGGTTTCCTTCATTGAGAAAGTGAATGCCCGTGCCCGAAAACAAGGTATGATAAGCTTCTACATATAAATTATTCGTTTTAAAGTCTGGCTGTAATGGTTTGGAAGGAACTTGAACACCGTAAATGTACGAGCAAAGAAAATTTATGTTCGAATAATAAAAAATAAACGGATTCATAGTACGATCGCCATTATAAGCTTGATTTTTAACGAAACTTACGATTACCCGCTTAGGTAACTTGCCCAAGATAATATTATGTAAAGTTTTGCCGTAAATAACACTATGCATCGTCACAGCTTTCACTTCGACACGCGTGAGCGGATATTTTAATGTACTCTTTGACAAAGTTTAGGTATGGGTTAATAAAACAGATGGGCTTATTTTAACGCGTCTCACTAAAAGATTTGCTTCTTCGATACGAACGCAAACCAAGTTTGAAGTGACTATGAAGCAAAATGCATCGCGAGATCTTACAAATCGCATTCTCACCTTGACGCCATTGATGAATAATTTTTCCTGATTGCACACATCGCAATAAAGATGACCAATCAGATCAATCGACTTCCTTACTGGTAGGAGTGTACGTCGCTTGACGAGTCCCGCGTTGGCATCCAACACATCGTCTATCTTTGTCGCCGTATCGTCACACCATAATGCACTCGTCAAACGGGCTGATTTTTCCGCAGGACCGTAATTCAATAGAGTTTCCAAATACCAAATACTTTGTAAGCGTACGCGTTGTTAGGAGGCGATACAGGTTTCTAATTGAAAAACACATCGACTTGATTGAACAACGAATGCATAAAATACTTGATTGGTCCTGTCTTTGAGATTTAAGATGTGACGTCAGTATTTAATTCTTCATCTTCATTGACGGCCAACTTGACACGAAGACTGAGCATTGTGTGTGGGAGATCGATGTATTCGTCACCATTACCTGGTACGACAAATTCAATCGGTGAATAATCCGTGAGCAATAAAATCTGCTTGTATTGAATCTAGTGCGATCCCTTGATAGTTGTTTGAGTCGCTGGAGTATCAAACAAAAGAAGCTCAGACTTTAAGCACTTGCATGAGTGACTGTGTAAAAAAGCCATTTTAAAAAATTTAGCTTTCAAAAATGTTTTTTGCAGTTCTCTGTCCCTTCTTCTTTTTTCTTTTTATTGTTCTCTTTTTCTTCTTTTTATCATGTTTACGCGTTTTCTTAGTTTTCTTCTTTTTACTCTTACGCCGACCACGCCTTGACTGCACAGTTCTACGAAGCAATTGCTACTGAAATGGTTCGTCGAGTCGTCCAAGTTTATATCCTGAACCTTCCATAAGCTTGTCCAATTTTTCCTCGGCTTTTTCCTTCAGCTTATTACCAGACTCCATCACACGAGTGCAGAATGTCTCTTTGAAAGGTACATTTTTAGTGGTGACGTCAGACATAATGTTTATACCTGCACGAACAGCTTCTTTGTCAACAGCTTTGGCAACTTGTTTAATGAGTGGTAAGACTCATCGAAATACTTGTTCATTAGGTACACAGGTAGGTGGGTAACCCGAAGCTAGTGGTTATTGTTTAAAAAACTCGTTAATACAACGTGCAAATTATCCTTCTTGTCCGCTTCTTGATTGTACTGTGTTATCTGATATTGATATATTTCATAAACATTTCTAGCGATATAACCTACGTGAACAGTCACCTTGACTTTTTTGGATACCCACATACCTCTTAAAATGCGGTCTCTTTCATCGTAGTGGACACAGTGCTCTTGAAGCATATTCTCGCAACACGTACGGCACAGTGGAAAAATAAGCTTATTGTGCATTTTCACCGGTAATACAGGATGATACAAATTTCTAGGTCGTAGCACATCACACATAATTAATCCGCTTACTTGGGATATATCATTATTATCACCTATTATTTTTTCACACTCTCCTTCGTTAGAGTATGACGTTGGATGACCAATGGGAAATATACCTCGTTTGCAAATATATAGATACAAAGAGCATACGTCAACGTTTTTGATTTTCTCTACATCCTGACAATCGTACATTTTTACAGTGTTTCCCGTTCGACCACCGAAAAATTCATTACTTGGATTCAATGGTTTTCTACTCCAATAATTTTCATTTTCTCGAATAAAATTTGAAAGTTCTTTGTTTTCAGTTGTCACGTATTCCTTGGTTAAAGTCGCATTCCCATTTTTCTATCAACTTATAATTTGACATTTTTATCTTTTCGTCAATCGTGAAAGTTTTCTCATATCTTTTATCCATTGTATCTCCGGTTGTCAAAATGGTATCTTGGTTTACTGGGTAACACCGTGGGCAGCCGTGCCAAAAGCAACTTTGGAATCATAATACGATTCCACGATTATCATGCACACCATCTAGAGGAGTACAGTATCCATCGATGAGGATACCTTCTGGTAAGCGTCTCTCTTGGCAGTGTCAAACGTGTTCAATAAATCGCTGGAGAACGTGTTTTCCATCCAATAAAGCCATTTTAAAGCTATTTTAGATTGATTATTAACCATTCTCTAACCTTTTTGTGGTATTACATTAATTTGATTTTTTTTCAGAAATTGTTTTCTATACACACGCATGCTGGTCGAAGTGATCGTTGTGCATTCCCCAAAAGTGTCCACCTCGAATTTTCAAAGTTTTTCGAAAAACTAAGCAAGCTAATCTTAAAATTTTTACGTCTTGCCTACAGTATTTTATTATTTCATTTTTAAAGTCAAATATATAATTATTATTTACTTTTTCATTGTACCATTTTCAAAACTGATCTTGATCTTTCGTATGCTTGCCATCGGGTGAATATACGTCGAGCGGCGGCAGAGGACCTATGTTCGATTGATTTTCGGTCTTGTTAAGAAAATATGGAAAAATACCTTTTTTAATTCCCGACAGACCATACGACTTGGGTAAGCTGCTTAAAGGCATATGAAAGTAATTAAGACTATCGATAAGTTTTATTTTTATAAATTCCATGAATATTATTTTTGATCCGTTCATGATAACGGATGGTACTACGCGTTCGCCGTGTTTTTCCACTATATACTTGAAAATAAATTGAGCATCGAATTCTTGTGCATTGTGAGCTATGCAAATGATCTTGTCAAAATATTTTTGATGATCTAAAGCAAGATCTACCAACTGTTTGATTGGATTAGTTTGAAAAATATATTCTTGAATGCCGCAATGATCGCAGCTTATCGAACTATCTTGTACGTTGCTACAAGCATTACAAACTAGTTAAACGATACACAGATTTACTTCGTGGACTTTTATCCTCATCACTTGCGATGGGTGTCGTCTGTTGCGTTTAAAAATCGTAGCATAATATTAAAAAATTAGGTTTTTTGCTGTTTAATTTTAACGGTTGAATGTAACAATGATGATTTACGGGTAAATTTTACAATTGCACGATCTTTACTATTGCAACAAAAAGAAATACCGCATTGATGTTTATGTTTCTTGTTTGATATTCGCACAGTTTTGCAACATAACGGGCAAATTTTTATTTTTTTGCAAATGTTAACAGATTTATCATACGAACCTTTTCTTAAATAATTTTTAAAACATGTGAAGTTAAAATATAATTAATTTGTGGCATGAATCACACTTTTTTGATAGACCCATCACATCGCAAAGAGGAGATTGCATACACTTGTAGCATTTGTTGGAGCATCTGTGATCCTCGATACGCCAATAACTCTTATTACACGGTATACAGTATCCGCAACTACCGCTTGCACCGATCAAATTCAGTATAGGCTCGTAATGCTTAGCGTTTTCATAGTACATTAATCATAACGTATGAACGATTTGTCCTTGAGTCTCTAAAACTAAACGAGTACCATCGTACAGAGGACTATGACTACGCCCAAAATTTTGAAACGAATAAACGACAATTGCTGTCTTGTAAGTAGAAAAAAAATGTTGAATCTCGTGAACTTCTGTGAGGCCAAACCCTGTATCAGGCACACAAATTTTTGTCAATCGCAAAAGCTCTTCGGCTGCTCTCTTTTGAGTGGGCCCGTAATCGCGTCTTATAATGTTCCAATAATTATGTATGTAGCCTACCTGTGCGTATTTGTCCCCGGACGACGTAAGCGCAAGCTGCTGCTAGAGCTCATGATAAACAAAGATTATCATTATTATTGATGGTTAATATTGATTTTTTCCGTACGTTGTTCTCAGTCAAGGCTACACGCCCTCTTCCACCAATACCACTTATAATGGCACAATTAATTGACAAACTGTCATCGCTTTCAAAGTCACTCAAGCTCTGGACAGCATTAATCAAAACATCCCATAAATCTTCAACAATAAAATTTCGAGTAGGCCTAAAAGATATCCACAATGGCCCGTGATGAAACATTTGAGAATTTATAGTAACACCTACAAAGTCTTCAAGATTACTTTTTTTTTAATTAAATGATAATGTCAATCATTCATGCAATTCTTAAGCCATGCATACATATTAACATTTGGGATTTGTCTCACCAATCTACCTTGAATTTCTCGTCCTTTATAATTAAATCGACGATATCGTCTAATTGTTATGTTTTCAATGATAAACTGTGGACGTTCCCCTTCGCCATTCTGCAACGGTAATTCTTAAAAAACAATTTGAGTATTTGAAAATAACTAGAGAAAAAGATGTATCTCATAATATTTACTATTATCCTCGCTACTGTTGCTGCTACTACTGCTACTACAGGTACTACTGCTACTTCTTCTACTACTGTATTTAACGTCATCACAATCTTCTTGTCCGCTTGCTTCTTCCATATCTGAATGTTTTTTATCATCACTACTAATATCTTCGTATATCGGTCGAGTTAAACCACTAGTCGATGGTTGTGGATTTTCCTCTGCAAGTAAAATTGTAAAAACTATACCTGATTAATAAATATAGTAATACAGTCTGCCTACCACTCATAGTGGTCGGTGTACATTCCGTGATTGTATCAACATTGAAAAGTAATTCGTCACCAAGTGTATCGTCATGCATTTGCCTTATCACGAGGTATAACTTAATTTTTTATGACTGAAAGTAAACAAAAGCAAAAATTTTAAGGTATACTTACGGTAACAGCGCACGATATTTTTTGCCAATGGGTGATTACGATCGACAAATTTTTGAACACTTTTTACAACAGTTTTATGAACGACTGTATTACTGAAAAAAAACACGTTTAAATATGTCACTGACGGCTTTTATTCGACAATGTAAAACGAGAAAATACAATTTTTTGAGGAATATATTGATCGATAATAATTGAAAATTACAACTCCAGGCGCTACCACACATAGTACGAATGTGTGGTTCACGAACGAGTGCTACGCGTAGCAAACATCTAAGCACGGTTATCAAATGAGCTTTCGTAATAGGTTCCATTGTTAATGTTGCAATGATACTAAGGGCTGAACGTTTTTCTTCTGCTATTAATATAATATTTTTGCAAGAAATTGTGATTGGTCGGCTTTTTCCCCCGTGAGTCGGAAGACGTCTCATTTTATTAATGATCAAAAGAATCGCTGCTTTACTTCAAGGAATGTGCTGACTCTTGTATATAATTAACCAAACACTTTGTTTTTAAAATCATAAAACAAAAGTTATCCTATATTACATAATAATCAGTCGCCTCCTTATTTTTTTAGGAATGCGCTGATTATTTTGTATAGAGTATCCATCACCTTGATTTCTCAAGAATTTGAGAAAAACAGTTATAAAACAATCGTTATATTATATTATATAGTGGGTATTCGACGACTTACTTCCAGAAATGTGCTGACTTTTGTTCATAGAGTGTCGATGTGCTATGTCGACGCGTGGCTCGCTAAAAAACGATCTCTTACTCGCGCAATCTACCTCTGATCTCATATCCATAGTGTACTATATTGCTATGTATGATTATTTTCATACCCAGTGCTTTCATTGTCGCAGCTACAAGTCCATTGTAACACTTTCAAGAGTGTGCTGACTTGAGGTAATCCAATNGCCCAAAATTTTGAAACGAATAAACGACAATTGCTGTCTTGTAAGTAGAAAAAAAATGTTGAATCTCGTGAACTTCTGTGAGGCCAAACCCTGTATCAGGCACACAAATTTTTGTCAATCGCAAAAGCTCTTCGGCTGCTCTCTTTTGAGTGGGCCCGTAATCGCGTCTTATAATGTTCCAATAATTATGTATGTAGCCTACCTGTGCGTATTTGTCCCCGGACGACGTAAGCGCAAGCTGCTGCTAGAGCTCATGATAAACAAAGATTATCATTATTATTGATGGTTAATATTGATTTTTTCCGTACGTTGTTCTCAGTCAAGGCTACACGCCCTCTTCCACCAATACCACTTATAATGGCACAATTAATTGACAAACTGTCATCGCTTTCAAAGTCACTCAAGCTCTGGACAGCATTAATCAAAACATCCCATAAATCTTCAACAATAAAATTTCGAGTAGGCCTAAAAGATATCCACAATGGCCCGTGATGAAACATTTGAGAATTTATAGTAACACCTACAAAGTCTTCAAGATTACTTTTTTTTTAATTAAATGATAATGTCAATCATTCATGCAATTCTTAAGCCATGCATACATATTAACATTTGGGATTTGTCTCACCAATCTACCTTGAATTTCTCGTCCTTTATAATTAAATCGACGATATCGTCTAATTGTTATGTTTTCAATGATAAACTGTGGACGTTCCCCTTCGCCATTCTGCAACGGTAATTCTTAAAAAACAATTTGAGTATTTGAAAATAACTAGAGAAAAAGATGTATCTCATAATATTTACTATTATCCTCGCTACTGTTGCTGCTACTACTGCTACTACAGGTACTACTGCTACTTCTTCTACTACTGTATTTAACGTCATCACAATCTTCTTGTCCGCTTGCTTCTTCCATATCTGAATGTTTTTTATCATCACTACTAATATCTTCGTATATCGGTCGAGTTAAACCACTAGTCGATGGTTGTGGATTTTCCTCTGCAAGTAAAATTGTAAAAACTATACCTGATTAATAAATATAGTAATACAGTCTGCCTACCACTCATAGTGGTCGGTGTACATTCCGTGATTGTATCAACATTGAAAAGTAATTCGTCACCAAGTGTATCGTCATGCATTTGCCTTATCACGAGGTATAACTTAATTTTTTATGACTGAAAGTAAACAAAAGCAAAAATTTTAAGGTATACTTACGGTAACAGCGCACGATATTTTTTGCCAATGGGTGATTACGATCGACAAATTTTTGAACACTTTTTACAACAGTTTTATGAACGACTGTATTACTGAAAAAAAACACGTTTAAATATGTCACTGACGGCTTTTATTCGACAATGTAAAACGAGAAAATACAATTTTTTGAGGAATATATTGATCGATAATAATTGAAAATTACAACTCCAGGCGCTACCACACATAGTACGAATGTGTGGTTCACGAACGAGTGCTACGCGTAGCAAACATCTAAGCACGGTTATCAAATGAGCTTTCGTAATAGGTTCCATTGTTAATGTTGCAATGATACTAAGGGCTGAACGTTTTTCTTCTGCTATTAATATAATATTTTTGCAAGAAATTGTGATTGGTCGGCTTTTTCCCCCGTGAGTCGGAAGACGTCTCATTTTATTAATGATCAAAAGAATCGCTGCTTTACTTCAAGGAATGTGCTGACTCTTGTATATAATTAACCAAACACTTTGTTTTTAAAATCATAAAACAAAAGTTATCCTATATTACATAATAATCAGTCGCCTCCTTATTTTTTTAGGAATGCGCTGATTATTTTGTATAGAGTATCCATCACCTTGATTTCTCAAGAATTTGAGAAAAACAGTTATAAAACAATCGTTATATTATATTATATAGTGGGTATTCGACGACTTACTTCCAGAAATGTGCTGACTTTTGTTCATAGAGTGTCGATGTGCTATGTCGACGCGTGGCTCGCTAAAAAACGATCTCTTACTCGCGCAATCTACCTCTGATCTCATATCCATAGTGTACTATATTGCTATGTATGATTATTTTCATACCCAGTGCTTTCATTGTCGCAGCTACAAGTCCATTGTAACACTTTCAAGAGTGTGCTGACTTGAGGTAATCCAATAATTCAACTGAACGTCCGTAGTTGAGTCCCCGCACACCACTCGTGACATCACGATCATTTTGGGCAAGCTAAGTAGTCTACAGAAAAGCAGCTCGTACGCTTGATCAGTTTGTTTCAGCGATCCACGCTCAACTCATGTGACTTTAAGCGTTTTGGAAAAAAACTAGCGCAACGGTGTGGTGGCAAGTCATACGACTAATCAGTATACTTTAGTACTCCGTGCATTAATCAAAAATTCGTGAATGGTTTTGGAGAGTCAGCGCTAAGATTATTGGTTCGAAAAATAAAGTTGATTAGCCACTGCAACGAAAAACTGTGTCCCAGCCATGACTCTGCTATCTGTATCAGTCGAGAGGCAGCGCTCTGGTTCTGTTAATTAATAAAGTGATCATAAGGAAAGTGTGGATGAAGAGTCCGAAAGTCACTGATTGGCTCCACCATTTTTGGGGACTAATTGGGAAAATTACAATCCAAGCAGTGATGTGTAAATCTGTGTTTTCCTCTCTACCACTTCCATCAATTATGCAATCCCCGAAAATAGCGTCTTCCGTCACACTTTCTTTATACACACTGGACAATCATATATTATTGTTTTTCGTATGTAATAGGATATCTATAATAGTACACCGCGTCGCTCTCCGCGTCTCCAAGATTTCGTATGTCTTTCTCTCTCTCTCCGCTTTTCTCTCTTTCTCTCTTTTCGCTACGTTTAGATTTCGCATGTTCTCGCCTCCGCTCGACAGTCTTGCATACTCCCACCTCACAAACACTTACATGCAACACTTTGGCTTCGTCAAAGCTGACCCCTACTCGAGTGGTAGGGGTTTGTTTTGAGGGGCCAAAGTGTTGCAACAACTACTCACGTGTAAGTAAGCTGCTTGTAAAGTTACAGTATTTTTACTTGCGTTAAATGTAAACTGGGAGCAAGCCCTCATACTAAATAAAACTTTTGTTTAGTATACTTTTACTCATCAAAAGTTACATGAACTAGAAAAACAGCAATGAAAATTATTCTAATGAAGATATTGTGGTTATTTTTTAAAAATATGTCATTTTTTTAAAAACGCCATAACTTTTGACTGATGTCAATAAATAAAGTAAAAAATTTTCAAATTAATAAAGCTGGATTTTAGCTTTCATTTAAACCAGCTGAGGATCTTTCGAAAGAATGTACTTTTTTTGCTATTTAATTTGAAAGTAACATTACCGTTTATTCTGGAGGCTCCCATAGTAAGGTTTTTTGGTATAAATGCCGAGAAACGCGTCTTATGTTTTTGCCCAACAGTGGAATGTGCTGGAAAAAAGTTTAATGATATTTTATCGTTTAAGGTAGAAGGAAAAGCTATGCATGGAACTGATATTTTAAACTTTACATACCTTGTACAGCTTATAAATATAATGGAAACTATATTCTGCGCATTTGACGTTTTGTACTCACATATGCACCAAGAAAGTGCATAATCCTTACTCCCAAAATTTGTACGAGTCGTGGTATGAAAGTAGATGGCAACTAAATTTCCTACATAATTTAAAAGCTTTAACCCTGGTGACGTAAGAATTTTAACATGGATTATAAATGGCTCTGATAATTGTTTACTTGCATAATTATATAGCGGCATTAAACTACTTAAGCTTGTTAAAGCCTTATGTACGAAATGTTACGCTTCTACCATAATTCCACAGTTGAAGTATTTCATTGTGGAACACATCCACAGTTGGAGTATTTCATTTCGATGATCGTATAGCAAATTTAATTGATACGATTTACCTTAGTACGCACATACGAGCTGAGGATATCATTTGAGTTAGTTACGTTAGAAGCAACAAACTATGTGTTTTATACATTAAATTTAAAAAATTATTCTCATACGTATTTATTGTAGGTACAAACATTTGATAGAATAGGGTAAGTGTACCTATCTCCGTGCTCTGCCCTATTACCGTGGGTTTTGAAAAACTGATGATTACTTGCTCAAAATAAGAAATGTTTCATATAAAATAATTTTTCAATTTTAATAATCTAAAATGACGTTAATGTAGAT